TATTGGTGCTCACCAGGAATGCATAGGCAAAATTGCACAAATTTTCACTTGAAAGAATAGTGGCGATCTTGGGATTTTTTTCTGTTCAATTTTCAAACTGTGTAAATTTAATACACTTCATCTTCAGCATGTTTAGTGCCACTTTTGTAAGTAACCACGCCCCCGTCCAGGCCACGCCCCTTCCGCTTTTTTCATCACTCGCCATTGCCATGTATGTATATTTTGTTGGAACAATTTCAAAGGTCAAGACACACGGGAACTGTTTCAGTGTATATTGTTTAAAAAAAAGCACTTTAAATCCTTTAACACAATTGCGTCCGTCCAGCAGTTTAGGGAAGGCGCCATACTGCCTCAGCATGACTATGCCCCAGTGCACAAAGCAAGGTTTGGCATGAATGGATGAGTTTACTGCAGAAGAATATGCCTTACCCATAGATATCTCTGTCATCAACCCCATCAAAACACCTTTATGATTAACTAGAATTGAGGTTGCGTGACAAGACTTGACTTGATCCCGGCTCACTTGAGGACGAATGGGAATTACACTGTAAATACAATTACACCTTAAGTTCTGACCTATATCCTCTATCCTTAACTAATTGCCAAATAGTGGGTGAGAGGGAGAGGTGCTCTTATATATTCACAATTATAATGTATGAGCTCTGCTATGAAAGCAAAAAAACGAATGTACCGGTCGCCAGTCCTGTAGTTGGGAACCACTGTTATAGATTCTTGTGTACTGGTTCTGGAATCTCAAATTTCAAACAAATTGTGAGGGAAGGCCAAGCTATAATTAACGTTATGGAGGGAGGGAGGGCGGCGGCGGGGGGGGGGGTCGCTATGACCCTGAGTCACAGCATTAGTGGGCAAGACCCTGAGATTTATAGATGTAAGGTATGTGAGATGAAATACGATTTTGTTCTGCTGTTAGGTGTGCATTTTACAACAGAAGAGCAATATGATGAAAAACATCACATCAAAATGATGGCCAGAGTAGAAAAGTCAGCAAAGATGGAGGCTATAAAAAGACAATGGGACTCTGAGGTGTATGAAAAGTAACATCGGAATTTAGGATTAACCCAAAACAATTTTCTTTCTCAGCTTCAGACGTTGCCTATCCGTTTGTTGAAAATAAAATGAAGAGAATGGTCATTACAATCCTTTTACGTATCATCTTATCTGTGTGAAAGAAGTGCAATTTTACTACCATCCTCCTTATTTACAACACATGAACAAAAATAAAGGCAGAGAGGGAGCATTTCATTTCTTATTCATATTTGTATTGCAATAACAACGGGCATTAAAAACAGACCTCAATGTACCCCTTGGGTCGAAAGAGCCATTAGTCTGCTCACTGGATAATGAGTATGTATTCGAGTGAGAACACTATCAAGCACG